ACCCACAGAGGTCCCTTCCAGCCCCCACCATTCTGTGATTCTGTGATTCTGTGATTCTGTGATTCTATGCTGACCCAGCCGCACTGCGGAGCGGGCTGGCAGTCTCCCGTCCTGCTCCACAGGGCTGCAGCTGCAATGCTGCCTGGCTGCGCTCGCCTCCCTGCCAGCCCTGAGCTCCGCATGCACCAGCAACATGGGTTTTGCATCCACGTCAACAACAGAGAAAGGAAAAAAGAATGAACTGTGAATTTTTAATGCAAGGCTGCTATCGGTACCATATGAGAGAATTGCTGAGGTGGCACAGCATAATTTTAATTATTTTTCAAATAAATATAATGCTTAGATTTACATTTTGCTGATTTAACAATTTGTGAGATTTTTACATAACCATTAAAGTTATTTTTTTTCAAGGTACATAAGAACATTCTGTATAAAAATAGTTCTTTAAATGAAACATTTAAAAACACATTATTAAATCTTTGAAATGCCATAGTCCTATTATATTTCATAATGCAAAAATGTTAGCAGCACAGATATTTCAGTATTCTTTCCAACAGCATACACTCATTTAAATGTTTCATTTGGTGTTTTTTTTTTTTTTTTTTTTTTGGAAGTATTTAATCTTATCTTTAAAGCCAATGAACTCAGTTAAAGGCAGTATAGAATAGAAATCATCCCTGGTGTCATCATATTCACATGTCCAGTGTTTACCACTGAGTGATTCGCAATTTATGTTTATGTTTAATACAATAAAAATAAAACCAAACTGCATATATCACATTTGACATTTTAAGTAACTTCTAGGCATCATTTCCTTTTTTTATTTCTTTTTTTCTTTTTTTTTGTTTTTTCCTGTGTTTCCCCCAAAACACATCTTCAAAAATCACGCAGTGATTTTGAATGCACTGATTTTTGGTTGCTCTGTCTGCTACCTCTCTTGCTGCAGTTTTGTGAAGGCTTGCTAAATGCAGTTCCCACTGATCAGAAAATAAGTTGTTAATGCTCTGAACTTCTAGAAATATACAGTCCGGGATAATGCAGGACAATAAACCAAGGACTCGGCAGAAGTTGTTGGCCACTACTGAGAACATTGGTTATAAAGTCCCATTTTCTTCTCATGTAGATACTTGAGACATCCTCAAAATCTCCTGAGAGTTTTGCCAAACGAGATGAGAGGATAATGAGACCTTTATTTACAGTGGTTTCACATCCCTACATCTGCTCTTTGATCATGTGCTTCTTTGCTTGTTTCAATAGAAGTAGCACATACACAATACGTAATCTGTCATCATGTATTTCTATACAGATTTCTTATACTCTTCTGACCATGAAGAAAGGAGTTGCGACGACTGGCTGTGATTTGCAGGACACATTCCGGAGACCAAGTCCTATACCCGTCATTCTGGATGGCAACATGGGAAAGAAACTAACCTCTGGGGCATCAGTAATTTTTAGTTCCGTGTACAAACCAACACAGTCCTTCCAAAAAGAGACCAAATTAGTGAATTTCTTTTATTTGTCCACCATTTGTGAGTCTTTTCTCTACTCCTGCTCCTTTATGAACCACGATAAGAAGGAACGAACAGACTATTTCCCAGAAAAAAAGCTCCAGAGACAGCCAGAATGCTGCCATTCCTGTCCCACCTTGCAGGCACAAGTGAAGTTATAGATAGAGCTGGATATCCATGAGTAGTAGACACAATACAGATGAGATCTGCGTAAGATTGGATATGCCCTTCATTCTTCTTAGTCCATAGGGGCCCTCTCTTTAGGTTGCTCTAACGCCCTGGATGATGCCCTTCCTAGCCTACAGATGGACTGGAGTTAAGAGAGGGCGGAGGCAGGTTTCACCTACCCCAGGGCATCTCCTCTTCCACACGTGACTTCTTCGTTGTGCTTCAGAGACAAAGTTTCCCACTGCGGAACCAGGAAAGGAAATGTACCAGCAAGCCCATTCCGAACTGCAGGGGAGGACTAGAAATGGAAGCTCAGATTATGAATCCCAATATGACAACAAAGGAGCATCACTATAGGCTTGCACCATCTTGCTCCCCAAGAAGCTATAGTAAAAGTTGGTTTTCAGGGACACCTACAACAGCTCGCCCAGCTCTGCATGTGGGGACTGGAATGATTGGATCCCACGCAGCCCACAGAGACGCTCGCTCCGACCTTGCTGGATTTTCAGCTGGGCTCTGCTAGGGCACTGCTAAATACATCGTATTTATTTTACATACTTACTTATCATCTTGATATGCTAGAGGCAGGATTAATACCTTTCATTAAAACACCTACACCAAAACATTGTGTCAATCCTGGTTAAATTTAACCAAGTGGAATGGTACATATGGGCTCTGGCCAGTTGCAGCTGGCCTTAAATTGAATTTTGCATGAGTGGAAAGGTGGCTGTTGTATGCACCCGCAGAAGCGGGCCTGAATTTCTCTTATGTTTCTTGCTCACTCTGTTACCTTATCAGTTGGTTTCTGCCTGCAGCAATAAAAATGGTATTTAGGTCAATGTGTTCTTTGTTAATTGCATTAGCCATGTGCGTAAGACTTAGGCTTGCTCTTCTCCTGGCACTGCCTTTGGCTGTTAACATGTGGTCTTTAAACATGTTTCACTCTTCAGAATGTACTTAATCTGTCAGGTGAGATGGATAGAGTCTGTTTTCGGCAGACTAAGATGATCAGTGGAATGCTAAGTACACAATTCACCTGGGTGGAGATGCCCATTTTATAAACAAACACAAGCCATTTTATATGCTACTTTTTATACTAAGTCCGCAAAAGCAGAGGGAAGAATTACATTTGTGTTTCAGAAGAATTATATTATGTTTTCTGCATATGAGGTCTAATCATATTCAGAATACTTTTTTTTTTTTTAATTGCGGCAACATCTTTTGGAACTTTATAAATAGCATCATTTTCCCTCGGAAAAAGAAATGAATACAATATTGGCTATCTTCCAAGAGTTTCTCACTTTTGTTTAAAGCACATTTTATTAGCAGAACTTTTCCTCATGTGATAGCAAAGATCAGAACAGAAGTGTGTTCAAACCCACACCCAGAAACACACATAGATCTCCTGAAGCAGATTCAGCAAATGGAGAACTGCTTCTGGCTTGGAAACAGAAAGTTACTATACGAATAATATGGCAAAGTCCAGCAGAAGGAGCTCCATTACTTTAACTAGGGGCATCAAAAACAAAAGACCTTTGAGAGGTCTATCTGTCTATATTCAGATGTAAAGAAAAATGCCTTCTCCCTGTTTATTTATTGAACGTCTTTGGATCCTACATACTAACCAGAATCCAGACAGCCAGCTGATAATGAAATATTGACTTTCAGCATCAGCAGAGACTAGAGGTTTCCTTTCCCTAAGCTAAAGTTTTGAGTTTAACTTTATTCCCAAGGATATTCACTACGTTTTGGGCAGGAAATAAATATCCTGAAACTATTCTCTAATGGTTCAGCTTTGAAAGATAGTATTTGTTCTGAATGCCTCGAGGTTAGGGCTCTGTAAAACATCCGTCCAAAGACCTCAGCCCTCTCCCTTGTGCCGTGCCCATCACCGCTCCATCCAGGTGGCTGTGGGGTAGCGTTCCAGGAGCGCGTTCCTCAGCTGGGCTGTGTGGATCTTGTCTCTGGTCTCCACGGTGCAGGTGACCTGGGAAAAGAATTAGGAACATTCCTGATGACGTGGCAGCAATCTCAGACAAACGCATTTCCAACCCAGTCTGAAAACACACTCATAAAACCAAAATGATCAGTTCAACATAAAGTCTCTGGACCTCGCATCCGCTGTCTACGCAGGTAAGAAAACTGACATAGCAGACATCTGGGGCTCTTCCAGCCCTTCTGCACAGTCTTAAAACCTTCAAACAGCCCTTTTTATTGCCTTCAAAGTGTGAAGATGATGGACTTATCCTCTGCTGGCTCCTACTCAAGTACTTGTCTGCTGTTTACTGTTGGCATCCCTGAAGCCATCCACTAGCAGGTTCTCTTTTCCATTCCCTGGGGTATGTGCGTGGTGCTGCTGCCAGCTCACCCACCTCCGACTCTTACCGCACCCCATTTTTCGTGATTCTGGGCAGCGTTTGTTCCACCCTTGAAGCTCTTTGTATTCTCCTCCTCTTCTCTCCTGTGGAGTTATCCCCCAGTACTTTACGGTCTCTGCAGTATTGTGGCTGGTTTCATTTACTCACATGCGTTCTTATTTTACTCTGATTTTTCATTTGCTCATTGATCCACTTCTAGCTTTCTGTTATAGTTGCTGTGCTGCTAAATCAAACTAAACCTAGGAAAACTTCATCTCGATAGTTTTCTTTTTATTCTTCACTTGCCTCCTCAAGCATTATTGACGATCCTGTCTTGAAGCCACTGAAGACGCTAACTTCAGTGTCATTTTTTCTGTTCTTCTTTAACCCCTCTTTTCTACATACTCACATCTCTACTGCATGATTTGAAAATCTGAGCACTACCAAAGGTGAGGCACTAATGCGAAGGTGCAGATGGAAAATTATGCTTTGCAGATTTAGACTACCAGCTTCCATCACTGCTGACCCTGCTGGAATTATCACTGGTGTTGAAAGTACTACGTGGAGAAAAGACCTCACAGAAGCATGGAAATCTAGTGAGGAAAAGACCCAAGATGAGTCACAGTGCAACAACAGAGAGATGATTGTTACAGGCAGATCTACAAAGAGTAGAGGAAAAACTAGTCGTGGTAACCTTAAGGCAGACTACTGGCGATGGATGCCCTGCGTAATGTTCCCCTTGGAGCTGCACCCTTTACAGAAAGCAACAAGGCAAAAAATAAAATTATCTCTACTCAAATATGTTTATGAGGACATTTCTAAATAAGAACTTTGTGAAATCGTGTTTCTGGAAATAAGCTTAAAATAACAATAAACCTTTAGCATAACTCTTGAATGAGAATATAAAACACTAACTCCAGGCTATTCTAAACAGCCACAAGCTTACTTAATTCAAAAAGTGTCCATAGCTTCTTAAATATCTGTCATTAAATAAGCCACATTTCTGATCCATTTCTGTAATTCTTGGCCTCTTATCTGGAACAAAGGTCTGTACTTGTTTGGTTCTTCGGAGCACAAATTAGATGCTAACTTATTTCTCCTCTGAAAAAGTGGGATTTCGTCTCGAGAAGGACATTCAGAGAAGATAATAATGAGGGAAGAGGAAAGAAAACAAAGATGGGGAAAAATATCTAAAGGATATCTTGGCACCAAAGTACCAAATACCCATTATCCATTCCATGACTCATATAAAATCCCTAAAGCTTTGGAGTCATATCTGCAAGAGCGCATACTCATCTTTCACTGAGTCCGCAATTAAAAATAAGCAACCTTTTTCCCCCTTCCACAGCAATCACACCGGTTTTGTCCTGAGAGAAACTGAATGCTGCACTTGGAACCAGTCTGGATCTGCTGGGTTCAGCCTGAATGTTTGGCAGCAAGCAGTTGCTGTGCCCTGGGAGCAAGCATGGGAAAGCATTTTGATTCAGAGAGCTAACTATCCTCCTCTCTGGCCTTTGCTTTCTGCTAGTGACTGGAGCCAGGCAGACTTGGATAGACTGGAGCCAGAGAGCTTGTAAACAGCTTGGATAAGTACTGTCCTTTTGTTGTGTGCACGCACAGCATCCCGCACGTGATATGGCCATTAACATTCTGTAGTGTACTATAAAAGTAATAAGAGCAGCAGCAGCAATAATAACTCCATAAATTTACCTGATTTTTTACACTTGTCAAATAGAGGGAGAAAGAACATTTGCTCACAGTAGGAGTGAACAGAGAATCGCACTACATATGGCCTCAGTTTGCATCAGGGGAGGTTTAGATTGGATATTAAGAAAAATCTCTTTACTGAAAGAGTGGTCAGGCATTGGAACAGGCTGCCAGGGCAGTGGTGGGGTCACCATCCCTGGAGGAGTTCAAAAAAACATGTCGATACGGCACTTCAGGACATGGTTTAGCAGGCATGGTGGTGTTGGGTTGACGGCTGGACTCGATGATCTTAGAGGTCTTTTCCAACCTATGATTCTGTGATTTAGAGGAGCTACAGAACTAAACAGCAAGGAAGGCAAGAATTTGCTTTCTTGCTTAGACTAAGGCAATTTTCACTGCAGTTTTACCTTCACATAACTCCTCCCTCTTTCTTTGCTTCACCTGGGAAGTCTGATTTACATCAGTGTCCAACAGGGCAATGCTCCTGTTCCCGGGGAGGTACATGAGGATTATGTTTGTCTAGGATGACTAGTTACCTAGGTACTACTAGCTCCAGGAGGTTGCATACCTACCGATGAACTAAGAGTAAGTGCTCCAGATTGCTCTTATTTAAGAACAAATGACAAAACCTATTGCCTGATGCTTCTTGTACTCCAGACAAGATAACCCACGACAGCTAGAGAAAACTTTACTTTAAATTTGTTTCCAACCCAGAAGCCCTCAGTACTAGACATAGGCTTTGCGATCCAGCAGAGCTCTCATTGACTGCAGTAGACCTTTCTTTTCTGTGTACCAAAAAAACCCAACAGCAACAAAAAATGAATGCATTTTATGCATTTCTCTCCTGCATATTATATCCTCACTGGACTAAATAATAACAAATGTGAATAGCATTGCTCAAGCAAAAGATTTCAGTCTTTTGTGCCTTCCCAGGTTCCACGTAAAGACAGATCGTACCCAGCTAGCGCAATTCCTTATGTCCCTGACTCATCCATTGAACCTTTGTATCTCACTTCTTTGTGCCAGAAACCACATTCACCTTCTCCTTCTAAGCTGTTGGTCTTGGAGGTTTCACAAAACTTAATATTCATGATACACCGTGCTTAGCAACAGTATAGGTTTGTTTGCACAAAAATCACTGGAGTTAGAAATCAAAACTTTATTTATATACGCTGGTTTCAGTTCTATATATAAAGCAAGGCTTTTAATTTCTACTAAAAAAAAAATCAACAACTGGGCAATTTTCTGAATTATTCAGTAAACACCCAGTGTAGGTTACTGCACATTACAGATTATTTGGCAACAGCACTTTGGTTTATGGTTTGGGGATCAGCTGCCAGATAGTTCCCAGGGCTGGTTCAGTGCAAGGCTTGAGAAAGAGCACAACAGCTGGCACTTGCTTGTGGAGCCCTCAGCTTTCAGCATCCTCTTGTGTTCAGGTCACTGAGCACTAGCATGAACAAGTTACTGTCGCATTACCTAAGTGAGATAATAACCCAGCAGGTCTAATCCTGGCCTCCCCGGACTCAGGTTCTTATTTCTGCAACTGGGGCAGGCTACTCTGTACTGCATTAGTTTGCTGTGGAATGCCGTAAAACAAAATGACCGACTTCTTTTGGACAGCCTTGGAAGAAATGTATTGTCGACCTTCCCACTCCAAATATCTCTATTTGCAGATGGGGAACTGAAGCGTGGAAACAGTGCCATGCCCAGGTCTTGCAGGAAATGCTTTAGGAATTATAGCATCCTTCTCGTAGCTGGACAGCTGCGTGTTCCTCTACACACTCTTCACAGGACAATAATACGGAGTATGGAGGCAACTGGGGACTCTACTCCAAAATATTCTCCTCCAGCCTTTTACAAAATGCAGATTGGCCCAAAGGAATTTACTCAAATTGACCAGAGCAGACTAAAACAGTTTAACGAGCTCTGACCTGAGGTGAATCAACTGTATGGAAAAACCAGGTATTACCACACCAAGCAAGCCAGAAAACCCAGCACCGCTGGGACAACGTGTAACGTTGTCACAAATTAAAAGCAACATTGATTTATGAATTAGTATTTTGCTGCACAGTCAGAGGGAGAAGTAATGTGACGGATGTTCTTTTTGCAACTGATCTCTTCTGAGTTATTTAAAACCAGAGCAGAGTTAAGCTCCAGAGAAGTTTTTAGGGAACAGGCCAGACAACCCCATAACTTCAAACAGGACCGAGGTCAGAGGGAAAACTGCCACCGCAGCTGCTGCTTCTCTGCAAAGCTGCTGGAGCACCTCAAGACCTTGCAGGCCCTTGCTGCTCCGTTCCAGGACCCTCCTGTACCTGCCAGCCCGATTATGCTGCAGTTGCACCGATGAGGAAAAGACTTTTCTAGAAACTTGATGAGTTCAAAGATACCGTTTTTTCAGCTGAGTTGCCCGAGTCCAAATACAAGGCACCCATTAAGCAGCCAAGCTGCTGATCTACAGCAGAGCCTCGCATGGCTTTGTAGCAAAGATAGTTCTTACTTTATTAAGGCGCTTATTGATTTTGTTCATTGACTTCTCTCTGAGTCAATAATAATATGGAATTAAAGGGATTTAAACGGTTAAAAAGAGGTTTACAGATCAAAGCAATTTAAGCGATAAATTGTCCCACGTTGAATCTGAGGAATATTACTGACAAAAAATAGGAGAAGTTCACAGAAGCAAGTTGTAGCTTCCTCCCATGAACCGGGCAATCCTTCAGATCTCTATATCCAGCTAGCTGGTGATGATAAGTTCCTTAGCTTTGACCTTTAGTTCCATCTGGATATTCCTGGTCATCTAACCTGCTTCGATAGCTGTAAATGTGAAGCCTACCAGACTGGTTATTTGTGTGATTTGCTGAGAGTTATCTATTTCAATATTGGGACTTTGGAAACCATTTCCAAATTGCTCAGGTAAGAGTGAATTAGGGTGTAGTCCTCTGCAAGACAGAAATCCAGTATGAACCACAAAGAAAGAGAATCTAAACTGGAGGTATGAGCAGGCAGTATCAAAAAAAAGAAACTCCCATGTTGTTCCACAGAAAGTGACCAGCTGATTCCACAGCACGAGGCACTTCACTAAGAATCAGATGAATCTAATGTAGCCATAATACTTTTAGTTTGTTTATTTTTGTTAAAAAAATCTCATATTTTTGCCAGTAAAATGTTCCAAATGTTACTTTTCCAGAGGTGTAGTCTGAACGCACAGCTTCCTTTTAGGAAGTCCTTAACTTCTCCACCCAATCAGACTATCAGCAAGGACCTTTCCATGGGGCGTCCCAAGCATGGGCCAGAAGAATAAACACTAACCTAACCCAGCAAGGCATTTCACTAGAGGGGGAAAAAAATGTTCTATCTTCCTGATAATCACTGACAAGAAACTAAGTTTCTCTGCTTTGGAAACAAAGGGATAAATCTAAAATGGTGATTAAATACTGAGATGACAACCTTGGCAGGACTGATTTATTGTTTCAAAGAAGCCACTACCCTTACTGCTGTGTTCTGGCAAACACTTCATCTATATCCACAGTTGAAAGTAGGTATTAAAGTTAGTGTGGAGTGGTTAGAGCTGTAATGCCTTTCTTATTATTACCACCAGCTCAAGACATGATAATTTTGGTTCTTGATCCAGATTTAAGTGCATGCTTAATTTAATGTGTGATGATTTACACTGAAGAAAGTGATACAAAGTTCTTTGCAGGTCTCCTTTAGTAGCAAATGATTGAAATGCTTCGCTGACACAGGGCTTCACCCCTTACAAGCAACAAAGAAAAAGCAAAACCTCCACAAGTATTAGCTTTACTATGAAAATACGTACATTGTTCTAGATCTCGTTAGAGAGAATTCGTTTCAGTGCTTAAAGATAAATTCAGTATTCTACCCTTTTTGATTATATTCATTTTAGTTTTCAAAGAAAATCTTCGCAATTCACTAAGTGTCATCAGACAGAGCTCTCTCCAAAGTCACTGAGGTCTGTAAATCTGGATCACTGCATTGTACTTCACTTCTAATTATCCAATAGCCTCTCCCAGGCTGATTAAGAGCCATCATGCAAACCCAACATCCAATTAAATTATTCAGAGATGCAAGTTCCTCCCTTCAGCCCTCTTGTAGTACAACACTGTCAGATTATTGAAGTGGACAGTCAGTGAAAATACATCGTGTTTAAAGTGCAGACAACAGCACGTGACACTTCTTCACTGTATTGACTACAGGTTCTGCTATTTCCTCATTGGGATATGTTGCAAGAGCAAAGGCAAATTGTTCTAACATTCTCAACCAAAACTGAAGAGAGTGGATTTTGGTTAATTTACTTACCAGTATTAATAAAAATTACAAGGCTTACTTTATAAAAAATCACATTGAAAACTTCAGGAGAGTTACAGGGTTTCTTGAATCTAGCCTTCAGTAAAAAGGTTTTTCAGAGCAAAGCTGGTCACTGAATCAGAGGGATTTGTCTACCTCGTACAGCATTGTGTTATCTTCAAGTTACCCAAACCAGTAAGCTGACCTATCGTTGTGGCAAACCACAGAACAGTGTAGCTTTAGTCCTGGGCACTTGAGAAAATTGATAATATCACGTTCTGAAAGACTTTTGTGAACTTCATTTTAGTCCTTTGCTATAGTCATCTTCAATCTAACCTATTCTTTATACCCACAAGTGAAAATACTGAGCAGGTTTTTGCATCCAGGTGGGAAATTGGATTTAAATGCCAAGATGGAAGAACTGGCTTACTCAATAGAATTACTAAATTCCAGTCATGAACCTGTTCAGCAAAGATCTCTAATGTGACTTCCAGCTGTGATTTCACAACTCAGTCACGTTGGACTCGGACAGCAGGAGCGTGAATATCACTGGAGCCACACCTTTGCCAAACCAGTTGAAAGAAGAGATATGCCGGGAGACAAATGATCCTTTTCAGAGATTCCATTAACTGAGAACACCTCCTCAATGTTCCTGTATCAAATACTCAACAAAGGAATAATGATTTTTCTCTGTGCTCGTTGAGGAGAAGGTACAAAACTGAGGCCCTATAGTTAAAAGTGAGGATTCCCGTAAGTGTGTTCTCCACATTGCTGTAAGGCAAACTGATAATTACAGCCAGCCTACACAGCTGGCTCTTCAAGTTCTGGATGGATGCTGCAACTTGCTCAGCACCTCTGGCACGCCACCACGCACGCACATATGGAAGGTTTGCAATAGTAACGGCTGGAGTGTTTCACCCATGGTGTCGCAACAGCAGGTAAAACAGGTCCTGTATAATTTAAATTCCTGTTTGGTGGGGCTAGATGCTGTAGATCACAGTGCACACTCTACTGGGATTCTTCAACATGGTCATATAGAGACATAGGAAAACGGAATAAACTAGGGGATGTCAGTATTGCTAGAGAATCTGAAGCCGCATCTCATCTTACCTTGACAGTGAAGAGCTCAGATGTCACAAATGTGCGTTCTTGTTTGATATCCAAAACTCTAGATCAAATAAGGGATAAATTAGAGATCCCAACAATCCCTTGTCATTGTAAAACAGTTTCTGCAAGTATTTGGACAGTAGCTATCTTTGCTGCTTTCTGTGTTAGACACTTCTGTGCTGCAAAGGTGCTTTCACATTGGAACAAAGATGAAGGACATAAAAGGTTTTCCGAACAAAAACAAGAAAACCCTCTTTGATTAATTAGTTATTTACAGACTTGCCTTCAGAGAACATTTGGAAACATGTCCAGATCTTAAATGATCGTTGTGTTATTCTGTGTTTATACTTCCCTACTCTTAGCCTGATTTACCTTGCTTCTTCCCGAGCCAAAATCTCCAGTAGCTTTGAAATGTCTCCTGGGCAGTCAGAGAGCACGAGGGAAAATCTGCACACTCTGTTGTCAAGGGTCAGGGCACGAACTAGGCACTGTTGCAGCAAATGCAACTCCAGGTTTCCACTGCATATAACAACTGCCACTCTGAAAACAGAGAGAAAAATAGGATTTTTTGATTAGCACTTGTCTGTGCAAAGGAACCATACATCACAGACACTGTATTCACTATCAGCTTAAGATCTGCTAGGACCACCCTTCAATAAATGTGTATTACATATCAGAGGGGCTCCTGGCTCTCAGTATCAATTATGGGAACCCAGAAACTGGCTGCATTACTTGGTCTGAAACTTTGTTTTCATTTTGCATTTACTGGAGATTTCAGTCCTGTTAGAGATAGTTAACTGGAGAAGTCCAGGTCTATTTCAAATTTTGAAAATGTGACATCATTTTTCCCTGGAAATTCTGAGTCTCAGCCTTTTAACACTTAGATAATATGTACATTTAAGGCTTTCTGTAACCACTAATTAAATCCATCTCAACCCTGCAAAATGAGTACCGACATGTTTGAAGAGCAAATGAAGAGCCACACGGCTAGTCCATGATAATCTGTCTCTGTAGAGTCAGCCGTGACCCCTTTAAACCCAAACACGTGCATTTTCCCTTTTATTTTAGCTGGACTGAGTTGCAGTTTGTTGCTACTCTGTGCGTACTCTGTCAGCCTTTTCTGAAGAACTGCCTCAGCGGTATTTTAGCGTACAACGTTGTGCATTGGAAATTTTATTTTGTCTTGAGTGCAGGTAGGTTTAAATACATTCTGGGCCATGTCCCGAGTGAAGGCTCAATCTGCTTAAGTACTGGGTACTCAAGCCCAGATGCAAGCAGGCTCTTACCCACACATTTAGTGCTAAGCACGAGGGTAATCCCGTTGACTGTCTGGGCAGGAATTCTCGGGGCTGGGAGGTAGGTGTCACTGGGTGACTGCAGAAGACAACCTAGCTCCCTGTATGACCACAGACAGGGCTGATTTCCACAAGTGGAAGGAGGGAAGGCACCAGGCTGACAAGAGCAGGATGCTCTCCTGGCAGATAGTCCCATGCCTCGCGGTGCTGTGTGTAACTGCCTTTCCCCCAGCTTTTTGAGAATACAGGGAAATTAGAAGATTTGTCTGGTTTCCAGGCTGATGTTTGTCTTGTTCAACATGGTCTTCTGAGCTGTGTATGGTCCCTTCACCCTGAAGTAGATGCCACAGATAAGCCCATTGCCAGTTTAGGGGCAGGAACTGCCTCATCACTCGTAACACAAGTACCTTGTCTCCGTTTCCTGGGACCAAGATTCTCAACCCCAGGCTTTTGTCACAGTTCTGTGTTTGTAATTGCTGCCATACCTTTTACCCTTCAACTCGGGCAGCTTCCCTGCAACCAGTGCCGCAAGGCCAATGGCCCCTTCTGCATCAACCGTGGCTCGCTCGTACTCTAGCAATCTCAGCATTGAAATGAGGACATCCTCCTCCCTGAAGGCAGAAGAGTTCTGTCAAAATGAAAGAGCTACTGAAAGCACAAGACAATATATTTCTCTACAAAGGGATTCCTTCTATCCTCCCGGGTACACAACACCCCAAGGTGGCAAGCTGTGCTGGTGGGGGTGAATGTGCATCTCAGTCTTGTTATTAACTGATAGACAGGATGGCATTTTTCGCTAGAACCATTGTGCTAGCAAAATCCCAGTGCTAAATATATTCTGCCAACTTGGGCTTTCAGTGAAGATTTAGATGAGTTTTGCCACAAGCTGCCTTCAAGTGTTGTAGAACACAACAAGGACAAGTTTTACACCCAGAGCATCACCAGGTACTAGCAGCAGGTGAAGGTTGGCCGAAGAGGTCAGATACGTGGGACTGGGTTCAACGCCTTCAGTGCCCCTCTTGGAAGGAAAGGCACCCCACCACCACCATGCTCTCACAGCGTATGCATGATGGCAGTTCCTGCTAACCTGCTCTCTGCTGCACATGAAGAACCACCCTGCCCTGGTGGTACAGCACATTTCTCATACACAGCAGCGCTCACCCAGTGTTATTCATTTCACTGGTTTTCTTCCCCTACCTCACGGCAACAACTTTATCCACAAGTTTCCCGGTCAGCTGCAAAGAATTGCTGCCAAAGCAAAGTCCGCTCACATCTGCAGATTACAAAAGACAAAAATATGAAGATGGCTGCCCTAGACAAGTTCAATGTTTCTTGGGGTCCTGACTGTTCTGTGCCCTTAATGAGTGCAGCACTGCCGTTACACGATCTTAAGCTGCTTGATTTTTCATGTGACAAAAGCACGTTTGGCAATGAAAGACCAAATCTCCCAGGAAGATTTTGCTGTTTTGGACCACTTTAAGAAAATTGTGATTCCTCACTGGCATGGTCACACAGCGAGAGCAACCCTGCAGCCCAGCGCTTCACCGTACAAGGAAGCCCAGAGAAGAGAAGAATCCAGCGTGGCACTGGGTTTGTTAGCTGCAGCAGGACAGTTAGCAAAGGAGAGCAGAGACAGGCAGAGCTTTCTGACAAGAAGATGTTTGCTTATAGAAGTCGCATTTAACCTAAAGCTTCCAGAGATTTGAACATCACATAAACAGGATATTATTGAATTGCTTAACCACTGAGGCTTTTTGAGAAAATGATATGGAAACAACTGTATCATTTATAAACGCTGTTGTCTGAAGAACAGTTTTGTGAGTAAATATTTAAGCACTGCATTTTCTGGCCTTTTCACAAATTAGTCTTTTATATGAGAGTTTTGCTATTGACTTCACTGGTTAAGATGCTGCTTGTAAGCACAATGGTCAGATAAATACTCTCATATTTCTAAGTATTCACCTGAAGTATTCAGCTGGAGATTCTATTGCACCCCAGTGTGGTGGGGGAGGAAATGTGGCAGAAGTTGCTCTTACAACGTGAATCAAATTCCCACTCTTTAGAGGTTTCATTTAAAGTATGTTTGAACTGAATTAATGAGAAAAGAATATCATTGGAGAAATCAATGAAAGCCTTTATTTTACCTCCAAAAGAATAACTCCTTTTCTTACCTCCGTAAAAGTGATGATTGCTGCAAGCCTGGTCTTCAATTGGGTGGCCAGCCTTTAAGGACTGTTGCAATACAGGGAAACTTTCAGATTCGACCCCCTGGGGAAGACAAGTGTTGTCACTTTTTTACTGATCCAGTTACAACAGAAGTTACCACCAAAGTAGACAAGAAAAAAGTTACACACAGTTTCCTCTTAGAATTAACAAATAATTTAAAGTTGCATAACAACTGTACTATTGCTAAATTTACCCAGTGGCTTATTTAGGGCCAAACTTTTCCAGTAAGAAATTATTTCAAAACACAGAGCTGTATTCCATTTGCTTGAGAAGAGTCTTCCCACATTTTTTTCTTCAATCCAGGCAAGCAGCCAAGGGACAGGAGGCTTCCTGGGCTCTCAGTAGCTCTTCTCCTTGGTAAAGCCCAGGGGCGCAGACGGTCCCGGTCCCCAGCATAGGCAGCCTCTGCCAGTGTATCATGAGATAGCAGTGCCTTTTGAAAACATCTGCGGTGAAAGCCATCAAGACGCAACACTTTACATGCGAAAGGAGACTTACAATGATGGAAATATGTGGGTTGAGGTGTTTGAGTGCAGCAGCAGACCCAGCCATCAAGCCACAGTGGCCTCCCGCAGGGAAAATCACCGCGTCCAACTTGGGTACCTGCTCGTGGACCTCCAGCCCCACGGTCCCCAGACCCGACAGGTAGGCAGCACTGTCCTCCCTGCAGGGATGAAGGGCACAGCTCAGCAGCGATCACCTCGCAGGTGTCCACGCCATGACAGTTCAACCTACTGCTTTGAAGACATCGTTCAGCGGAAAAAGATACACGCGAGAGTAAATTGCCAGCACGAGGGCAGAAGGCCATACAACAGGACACTGCCATCAGACAGACCACCGTGTGCTGTGTAAAGCGTGACGTTGCCTACTGGGAGAAAACTTGTGCTGTTGACAATCCCCCCAAATAGCCTTCAGGGCGAAGAGCACGTATATCTGTCATTACCAGTACCAGGTGTTTACAGAGCAGGTAAGGCAGAAGTCATTTTCCCATTTCCATCACTAACTTATGCTTCATAAATTTTAAACGTGGCAGTCGAAACTAAAAGCAAAGTCTCAGGAGATCTCCTTCTCTGAATTTATAAGTCGAATTTAGCATTTGTGATAAATTGGAATTTTCATGGAATTTAAGCACTGCGTTCAACCTCGAGAATACCAAACAGATTGCTACAGTTAAGTCTTTCCACAATCCAGGGCCAATATCTGATACCTTCACATTACTCTGGAAGACTCTGGAAGGATAAGAGAAGCATTTCAGTGTGCCAAAACACTCACTGGTAAAGCATTTTCAGGCAAAGGTAATTTAATGAGCAGAATAGGGACAAATAGACTCAAAAGATTGAAGAAAAGTCCACTGTATAGTCACACAATTGACTTGGATCTATTTCTAAAAGCTGCTCTGCTTTTTATTTAAAAGTTAGCAATGATATAAAAGTAGAATGATACAGGAACAAAAAAAGATAAGATCTCTGTATGCCTGTGTGTTCTGCTTTTTCTGGCAAATGGAGAGGCAAACAGAATTACAGATCCAGTGACTTCATTTACTTAACCCAGGACGTTTGGGTACTGGAAGCTACGCTTTTGTTACTGTTGGACATGCACAGAGAGGCTCAGCACAGGAGCATGGAATGCCTAGAAGGTGGAGACCAAGGCCGGCTTAAGAAGTTGCCTCACATATATAGCAAAACACAGCAAATTCCTCAGGGAGAGAGTCTATATAACTACACAAGAAACTATGGCATGAATGAACTTCCACTCCTGTGGCACAGCTAAAGGCGAAGGCAAGAAATCATCGTGGAATGGGTAACTGAACCCTTGGATTTATTGTCTTTATCAAGATACTTGAAGGAGCTCTCTCCTCCTTCTCATCCGTGATAAAATATGTCACTGGTCCAATGAACAATACTTCCGGACCCTTATTCGCAAATAAGATTCAGAACTGAGTTTGTGGAGTTACCCTTGCCATGGTTACACAGAAAAACACGGGGACCTGCAGAAGAAACGAGGGCCTGGGATATTCAATTGGCAAGTAAAACTTCTCTAACAACTGAAAATTTTGCCCGACAGAGACTGCTCTGGACATGGAGATTTATTAGCAGTTTGAATGAATGTTTCAGATAATCACATTTTCCTTGCTAACATCAGTTAAAACACCAGTTCACTTGTCAGCCTTTAGCTTTTTATTATAAAATGGGTTATTTTATTTGCACTGTGACTGATTACCTTTGCTTTGTGAAAGCAAACATATCTCAGTATCACAAGCCTTTGAAGGAAAATCAAGGAAAAGGTCAGATAAAACTAAAGACTGTGGATTTACACAAGCATTTATGAGTCAGAGCTAGAAATCAGGCCATTTGCCTTTCTGAAATGTGCAATACATCAGCAATCAAATATGGGCTGTCGGGCCTCAGTTTCCCAATAAAACCTTGATGTGGCAGCTAGAAGACTCTGCTCCCCCGCTCTCCAAATAAAGGGCTTGAAAGCTATCGGCTGTGCTTAGTAGAGTAACAGCCCAACCAGATTGCAAACTAATGAGGATCGAGTCTGAGCAGCATTTGGATGTGGAGCTACACAAGAAAAAAATGGAATCTCAGGGAAGCAAGATGTGTAATTCAATCTGTAGCACTCTTACCTCGCTGATTCACAAATCAATCTTTCTTGCATCATCCCAGAGGTACTGTGTTACTTACTGGCAATATTCACTTTGCATTTGTAATGAGGTCCTGAATATCTACAGTTATTAAAGATCCCACATTACCTAGGGAGCAATTAGGTAGGTTTAACGATCAAATTCCAACTTGAAAAATCACATTTCCTTCCTGGGATTTCACAGGAGGTTGTGGTTGGGTAAAAAGATTCCTTCCTCTAATTAAAGAACTCTTGCATGACCATTTGTAAGTATGTAAGTAAGTATACGTATACTTACAAATATCTGAAGGGTGGGTGTCAGTAGGATGGGGCCAAGCTCTTTTCAGTAGTGCCCAGCAACAGGACAAGGGTCAATGGGTACAAACTGAAGCAGAGGAAGTTCCAGCTGAACATGAGGAAGAACTTCTTCCTTCTGAGGGTGACGGAGCCCTGGAACAGGCTGCCCAGGGAGGTTGTGGAGTCTCCTTCTCTGGAGATATTCAAGACCTGCCTGGACAAGGTCCCCTTCCAACCCCTACCATTCTGTGATTCTGTGATCATTTGCATAACACAGTATTTTAATTGCACTCAGGAAATGGGAAGAACCCACACTGACACATCCAACGGCAGGACATCACCCGTGCAGGTAAAACCAAAGACAGTCACCTAATGTCTGCTTCAGGAAGGAAAGAATGAATTGTTGGTTAAGGACATCCAGAGACCAAATTGCTAGGGATTTTGTGCAAGCTGGAATTAAATCAAAATAAAATGACATTCCAGAAGTTCCATTCTAAAGCTCAGGAGATGAGCTGATGTTTTACAGACAGCTTGGGCAACTGGCGATGAAAGTGTGTCAGACACACATTGAAGATGACTGGCTATCCATACATGCGTACATCCCTCTGGGAAAGCTCTCCCAGTCTGCACCTAACAAAATACGCTTCAGGCACCCTATTATAAAAAGGCTCACAATCATAGTGTGTGTGAGGGGGGTGTTCTCTTTTTTTTTCCTCCAAAGTGTGAAAAATTGCATCTGTGAGGTTAATTAAACATAGAAACAGACTGAATAACTCTGTTTCTTGTAACCTGAAATACCTGTTTCTTGTAACCTGAAATAAATCCAAATTCTTTGATATTATTAATGGCAATGTGTACATTCAGAGTTTCTCAATGCTAGATGCTGAAGTCCTTCAAGTCCGTTGTCCCTGGAGCTTATCTACATTACATAAGATAAATAACTATTTGAGAAGGAGGAGAGGATTAAACATGAAATTCCAATACAATAATTTAGTTCTTATGTGCAAACATGATAGCTGATGCAAGTCAGCTGGGAGTTAACACATCAGTTGAAAAGTGTCTGACAGAAATTTGGAAATCATGAAGTTATGGAAAGCTGTGGTTTTCAAAGTCAGCCTAAATGGGTTTAAAATTCCGTGGGATTCAGTGCACCTCATTTCCTTGGGTTTCTTTGAAAGTCTTGGTCTGGGACAAAGGACAAGGCATACCAACCAGCCCTGTGGGTCACTTGCTGTCGGCAGAGCTAACAGCGCAGTTGAAAAGTACAATTTTTAATACTGCCTTCCGAATAAACCAACTGGGAAAGAAGTGAGGACTTTCTCCATTCTGCTCATTCTGGGATCCACTTTCCAAACAACATTACTGATTATTACTGTGTTGAATGCCGTGGTGCCTAGGAGCCGAAGGGGAATGGGCACTCACTGCAGTAGGTGCTGTACAACCACCAAGTGGCGGATAAAGCCTGCACAGAGGCAGTGATGGGGAGTGAGAATAACATTCCAGCTCAGTGCATCAGAGGGACCACCAGCTACCTCATGCTAATGATTCACGCCTATGCGCTTTTGGAAATCTTACTTGAAAAAAGGTAAGGGAAAAAAAAAACACCCAAAAGGAAAGGGAAAGGCTAAAGAGACTGCAGAGAGAAAAGGAAAAAAAAAAAGGGAAATGGATCAGTTTGAAATATTTTTGCCTGTCTTATCTTATTCTAATCATTTTTTTATTAGATCCGGCTTGTTCAATGACCTCAAATAGTTCAAACAAATTTACACTCACCCTTAGCTACTTTAAAGATATGTGTGAAGTAGCCTCTTCATCACCTTTTTTCAAGTCAGAATCACAGTTTCGTCACTCACACCAGAAAGGCAAAAATTTTACAGCATTAACCTTCTCTTGCCCTGTCCTATGCCACTGAACCTTTTGCATTAAAGGTTAGATTTTACCCATTTTACTCCAAACAGAGAGACCAAAAATGAATGCTAGCCTTGATGCTTTCTGGCTGGCTTCATCAAGAGTTAGCATACATCCATTATCACACTAGCCCGTATAATTCTGAACCAGCAACTTTGCCTAATTTGTAGGAAGAGTGTTTCATTTTGGTTTCCATTCCCAACTGTTATAGAAAGATTCATGAATTGTACCTGGAAATCAGTAACTGTCCATACACCAGCTAGTGGGAACATTTGGATGACCTGCGATCAAATTTTAATGAAACTAATTGTTTTCACAGAGCTGCGCAAGTATCTAATCTAAGCTTTCTAATCAGCCTGACTTTCCACTTACTCTTCGAGGTAGAGGTAACCATTCTCCTGCGCCAGCCTTCTTGCGTGCGTCTGGGAATCCTTAGCCGTAGTGCCATAGGATATGACCATGGCACCATACTCACGGCACATTTTCACTCTGCCCGGAGATGTGCTGGTTGACATGATGACAAACACTGGAACGCGGAGCTCTGAGGCATGGTAAGCAACAGCCATGGAAAAGTTACTGTCCGAAGCCACGATCACCCCCTTTCTTTGCTGATCCTGAAAAACAGGTTTGCTTATTGCACATAATATAGTGTCACAAAGTTGTCCCATGTGAACCTGGATCATTCTAATGATCTGACTTCCTCGTTTTCCTCTACTAGAAGATCACATTATGATATTACAATACAGTATGTGCATGTCTGGCGTGATCTCAGGAGTTACACACAGATCTGAGACATCACAAGACCTGTTCCTGCACTCCTCCAGGTTCCATTCTTGTTCCATTGGAATTAGCTGCAAAACACCAGCTGATCCCAGAAGAGTCGATATCTGGCCCCTCAAAGCCAGTATCTGGCCCCTCTTCCCTACCTGTGTGAAATTATCTCATTTCAGGTTTCCCTTTAATAGAAGGATTTATTCATATTACTACAAAAGTGCAGGAGTAATCACTGTTTCTGGGCTGCTGTATCATGCCAATTATAATTATTATTGCTGCAGAGACTCAAAAACCTCCTATGGCAATTTATAAACAAGCTTTTCATGTCTTGATACTGAAGTTCATTACAAAATCAACCAGTGATCTAGATCCTTCTCATCACCCATTGAAACTCAATTTCATCATCACTTCAAGTTTGGTGGTTTCAACATGTCAGAACCATAATACGCATACAAACACTTTCATCCAAATGCCACAGAAAACGCTGATGCTTACATTTGACAGCCTTTTGTTTCAAATAGTTTTAAGCATTTCACCAGCAGATCTGCCAAGCGCAAATAAAGAAGTATTTTACATTCAGATACTAGCAGACCTATCTACGTTGTTCAGCACAATGGTTCAAAAGGCAAGAAACACTCCTATTCCATGGATGTTACAAGTAAAATTATCTTTAATTCTACTTCATTTTTGTGAAGCAGAACTAATCTCTTTCTTTTTGAAAGTTAACATTTTGTTATACCTGAGGCAATGATGTCAGAAGGTAAAGTACACCTCGTTCCTTCACAGATCCCGTGTACTGGAGGAACTCTTTCTTTAGGTAGATGTCCATTCCATATTGTTTGGATAGCCTAGAATACTGGAGTATAGAAATAGTATTATAGGGATGTTTCTAAAATTAAGACAAACCTTCCACACCCCATCAGCTCCCTGGCAAGGCATGCATTCAGCTACATATGAGCTCTAAAAAGTAGATTTCATCATCTGTTTCTTCAGAAATACATGACAGTGTGTTGTTACCTACCAGCTTCTTCTGGTTTATGGAAGGCATTTTTAAATTCAAAGCAGTGAAATATGTACCCCATGACATTATGAATTCTGAAAATAGCACTTGTTTTGGTCTTACTGTTCAAATACAGATATTAAAATAAGTATTTTCAATTATTTCAAAAATTACCCTATGGTCTGATATTCTAGCACTTGTGAGAACTGAATACCTAAAAAATAAAGTCATCTACTAATAGATGCAAAAGCAGTCAAAAAATTCCTCTTTGAGTCTCATTATGACTCTGTTATGGTTTCTGTCACTGATTCACTACTGAATATTGTTCATTTTGCATCCTAAGACCAGTACAACGTTAGTAATGATATTTTTATCTGAAGAATGATGGAAATAATAAAAAATATTTCCAAGGATTGCAAGCGTAAGCAGCAGCTGTTTGAAAACGCTCGGTGTTTGGAACAGAAAGGATGCCTGAACTGAGAGGAACTAGCAAGCTGGGACACATGATGCAGTGTCCAAGTGCATGATTTTGTTGTTTGGTTTTCTTAATGGCAAACCTTTATAAATTTCTATAGTAAGACACTCACAGGACACATCACCATATTAATTTCCTGTTACTATATTATCTAAAACAAGAGTTTTAAACAAGATAACTTATGAAATAGAGTTGCAGTAAGCCTGTGGGTTCCAGTTCCCTAGCTTACTATGTCACTATTCTGTAATTGGCTCCATTTCTTCCACTGGCTGCCAAGGCAAACAAGGACCTGGGGATTTAGGGGATCAAACCCTCATTTATGATAAGCCACAAAGAGAGAGAGATTAAAAAACAGCATAAAAATATAGTTGAAATATTTACCTCAAAAAGTGTCTGTCTCATGTATATGGCATATAGTGTATATAGTAATGCGTACCAATATATTTTTCAGACTGTGGGACTTTCAAAGCAAATTTATATAAACTAAATATATTCAAAACAGATACTTTCAGGTATACAACCGAACTAAATGTTTCAGATGAATGTTTCCAGGCTTTTTAGTGGATTTACAAGCGTATGTTAAGTTCCTCACCCACAGGTGGGGCCAGATTCTCTATTTTGCTTCTGAAAACCCTGCAATAGGAGCTACCACTTGTTGCTCCTCTGAAAATCGGGCTGCAGAACTGAAAGAATGGAAAGTGCTTAGTACACTAATAGGATAATAGTTTCTATCCTAAACAGCCCAATTTATGGAGAATGCCTGTGCAAAACAGAACAAGAACCATAGAGAAGAAACACTACTTCACTGATTCTTCACATACCATACCAGTTTTGTAATTTTTGCGTTTGTAGAGAATCTTGGATTCTAGCATGGACAATGAGAAAAAGGATTTAAGGAGATGAATCCTGTGACTTTATAAAGTCGCGAAGTCCCGTACATTCAAGAATATTTGTCATTAGGTCACTTGTTATTACAGAGGTGGTGTACTTTAGATTATTATTATTTTTCTGTAATTTAGATGCTCAATATTTTAACTCTTTAGGTCATCCTTTTCTGCTTCCTTTAACTAAGGCTTTTTTTCATGGAGCCTAAATATAGCAATTACTTCTAACAAAGGAGGTGTTTGTGCTATTTGCAGCTATACTGACCTGATGTGTGACCTTGTAAGACTCATTGAACTAGCCTGTAACTTCTCCCTTTTGTCACCGTGATCTTATCTAAGGACTACAGATATTGTGTCTAATGCACATCACACAGCACACCCTCCATTTGTCATCCAAAAAGCTAACACAAAGCAACCCTTAAAGTTCCTACATCAGGAACAAAACCAAGTGCCCAATTTCGCAGAATGGTTTGGGTTGAAAGGGTCTTCCATTCAATGAACTGCATGGATATGGTCATGCTCACTTTTTTAATCCAAACAAACGTCCCTGAAAGGGGCTCTTGTCTCCCAGCGATAAGTTAAAATAAAGGTTATCTGTGCTTTTCTTGACACCACTCTGTGCTTTCAATACTTTCCTTTTGAATCGGTGCATGAAACATATACTAATGACTTCTGCGGGAACATTACTTTGAGTAGCAAAAGTCATGGGCTATTTTTACACTGAAGCAAGTGGGGATATAGGCTTCCCACTATTCTGATCATTCCTAAAGGATAGTTCACAAAAAGAGATTAAAGAAAGTTAGCCTGTTTAACTTGGCACAGTAAATGCAGAAAGGTGATAAAACCATGTTGCATAAATCTTCCAGGAACACCCAAGAGAAAAGAACTATTTAAGCTGAGGGACAAAGCTGCCTGAGAACAAATGGTGTGAACTGGCTAAAGAGAGCTCAACTACTCGTGAGAAGGAGCACGATCAGTTTAGCAAAATCTTCGCATCTTGAGTCTCACAGATGCAAAAGGAGCAGAAGATGGACTCAGTAGTGCAGTCTTGCCTTTTCCTGCATTAGGATGAGTTGGGAGCAAGGACATGGCTTGGGGGATGGGGCTGAGAGAGGTTTTACTAGCTCGGCAGAAGTGCATGATGCCATGAGCTGCAGGGAAGGAAGGATCCAGGCTATCAAAGGGTATGGAGCTAGTTAGTTCTGCTTTCCAAATGAAGCCCTGACTCACTCCTTCTCCCTGCCCATAGACCTGCCTTTGCACAGCAAGTTTAAACCCGACTCACTCCCTCTCCCTGCCCATAGACCTGCCTTTGCACAGCAAGTTTCAACCCATCTAACAAATATGACCAGAGCTGTCAACTACAGAGGACCGTAGTGCTCACTGCCTGCAACATAAATGCAAACCTTCTCTTCCTGGGACAGTCTCTCCACAAAAGCAGAAAATTGACACTCCCATCTAGAGCACTGTCTGTGCTCTCAAGCCTGACAGCCTTGGTGACAAACGATGCAACATGCAGGGTTTGGTAGGCTCCCTCTCTTTGCCCTGCCCCCCTCGACCACCCATGCTGCACATGTGTCTGCTCACTCCCCCCGCTGCCTTCCCGAGCAAGCCAACTTTTCCTCTGGGAAAGGAAATCCAGGTACAGCTGGCAGTATGGTTTACTCCCGAGTCACTCTGAACAGGCAGTATATGCGCGGAAAAGGCATCCAGTTTGACTCCCTGCACTCCAGCCAACACTACCCTGCAAGTTTTTCGTGCCACCTTACAGCTGTAAAAGGTCTTGTGTCATGCCCTTTGTCACGAGACACACTTCTTCTGTAGTATGCTGCAAAAAAACACAGCTATCCTTAATTTGGGAACTCTAAGCTAGAAAAACCCACTGAAAGTAATTGTGATGTCTCTGGCACCATCTGGGAACCAGCACAAGTGCTGTGCCTTGCAGACCCAGCCGCTTTGCTCCTGGGACTGTTAACCCCAAGCAGTGGCTCAGACACTGAGGTCCTCTCCCTGTGCAGACCAAAAAAACAATCCATGGCCGGTGAGGCTGGCGAGGTGCCCCAGGTCAGCAACAGGGAGGGCTTCATCAAGACAGCAATTTGGGGCTGCTGCTATGAATTGCCATTTGGCAAAGATGCTCTTCTCACCCACCGCAGGGAGAAGAGGAGGTTCACCACAGAGTGCCTACAGTAGCCTTCGTGAAGAGCTCCAAACAGTAGAAATACTACTAATTAAACATCTTGCCACTGTACCTCTCTCACGCTTTAGCAAATGCTTGTACATTTATATGAGTGTCTCGGTCATTTTCATACCTTGACTGGTCCATAGGTGCGTATGTTTGTGTGTGTATCTTCATGTCCTCGTTTTGTTGAAGACACACATGGCAGAACCACCTGGTTACAGAACATATCCAGCCTTGCCAGGTTGGCTAAGCTGGGAAAGAAAGTCTGTGCCTCCAGACTCCCCAAATATGAGGGCTGGTTCCACACTGGGCCCTTCCACATGACTGCTTACCTAAACACTGACATTCCGCCGTCTCCAGCTCAGGTTCCTTGTAGCAAGAGCTTTTCACTGGGAGCATAATACCACAGTGCATTAGCTCTATGCTTAATGTGGTTTATCCTTTATTTACAGGTCATCGCAATCTTTGAGGATTTAGGTTAAACAGGTAAGAAGAAAATTATTATTGACCGTTTACAACAACTCATATGAACATCAGTCATCTTACACAGATCCACCTCCTGCAACCCACACATACTCTTCATTCATTTCTGATCAACTTTTACAAAGAAAATAAAAGGAATACTGAAAGAATGCAAAGCCATATAAACTCCGTACCATGCAGGGGGTTTTCTGAACACCGCACTGGATTTTAAAAGCTGCTGCACTAATATCTTCAAACCGAATCAGCTTGTTGCAGCTTGACAGGCTGGTCCTACTGCTTGACTGAGGGATGCGGGAAAGGGCATCCCTAAGTAACTCCTCATTACGGCTCACTATCTTCATTTCCCAGGTCTTCACATCCCCGTTCAGGTAATCCTCCTCACCAAAATCTTTCAGTCTCTCAGGGTTGATAGAAGGTGGCTTCTGCCCAATAGGGCCATTTCTTATTGGCCCTTCCTTACAACAGTGAAGATCACAAAGTGCTGGGTCATCTTGTTTGTTTATTTTGTTTTCATCCCTAAAAAAAAAATAAAAGAAACTTGTTAGGATAATTAAAGGCTTGATATTTAGCATTTAAGAAGGATGCACATCTCGGTTTCTCTTTGCAAGCCTCGAATAGGCAGACTGAATTAGTAGTGTCATATTACCTTATCTTGTAGGTGGATTGAAAGCTAGTGTAACCAACCAGCTTTCAGAAAAGCCACAGATAACCTGGTGTGTAGTCAGTCTCAATCAGCAATGACCCCTGTTCAGTGCTTCCAGAAATTTTGGAATAACTGGAATTGTATTTGCTGTATGCAACTCCATGTTTTTCAAAAAAAGGCAAAGAGCTGCTGCAGAGCATTCCCCAGCTCTATTAATAGCAGTAACAAATGCCATTACGTTGTACACAGGATGTCCACTTCTCTGCTCTTGCATACTTGCAGAGCATACTCTTGACAGTTGTCAAGTGACTCATGATGGGAAGGAAATTTCTTCAATAAAGGATAGCAGTTAGAGCCTCCTACAGAGCTAAAGAACTACATCTCCAGATCTGCAAGTTTACACCTCATAGATAAAAACACCTGTAGGTAAGATGACACCGTCATGCCACGCAAAACTCCTTCCCCATGAGACTTTGGACAGACAACACTGCCACAAAAATTTGCCAGTTTTCCTACCTTCAGTGGCCTTAGTCTACGATCCACAGTGTTCAGGAGTTAACAACGGATAATGTACTGTAGCGTAGGATGTTGCAGCCCTACTAACAAATGAATGCAAAATTTCTAGGTGTTCATGGAATTCAGAGAGTAACGTGGGGAAAAAGGAGCAATAAGCGGAAGGCCAGTGATTTGGAAAGGAGCTGATACCACCCCTTGTCTGTAGTTACGCTTACACAGATGGTATAAGTCCCTCTACACAAAGCACTCAATATTAATCTATTTGGATGAAAAGGTTTTCTAAAAAATATATGTGTTCAATTATGTCAGAGATTTCAGCATCATCTCCAACAAAAAATATTTACCTTTTTCATCAAATAATTTGTATTTAAGTTATGCAGTTATTCATCAGCATGGCTGGCTAAAACAAACATTGGCCTAGCTTTACAGCAGCAATCAGCACTGTAATATGCATTGCAATCATTCCCAAAAAGAATTTTAAAATATTTAGAAACAGCTGCCGTTTGAGCAGTTGCCCCACTTTTTTCAGTGTCATCTGTTTTGTTTGGAAAACCTTTCAATTCTTTCAGTAATCTCTGCCAGTAGCTCTGCTTCCCATTACACTTCCAATTGTTCCACTGAGGACTTGACATAGCAATCCGGGCAACACAAAAAGTTTTGTTATCTGAATCACGTAATATACCGGTGGCATCAATTGTTTGGTATATCCTCCCAGGAGACAAAAAAGGACAATTTTTGTAGCAAGGTTTTCTCTCTCCAAAATGAACAAGATCAACACTAATTTTCTAAGATAAATCAGTAAAGTATACACACATTTATCACTGGTTTATGTTGATGTACGTGATTTAAAATATTTTCCCAATACCACGTCTTAAAGCTGATACACCCCAACAGCAGGCATTCCGCCTTCAAGTTGGATGACTTAGCAAGTAGCTCCATTCCATGCTTTTCTGCATTTCTGCTCCTTTGGGGTTAGAGGGTTGGAACACTACACGAGGATGTTAAGCTTCCAGTGCTAGTTCTCATGCACATTAGCTAGCTTAACGCAAAGATGAGAATCAGATCAGCATGTCCCCCCCGTGAACTTGTTACAGCACAGCCCTTGGCATAAACAGCAGCTATCACCATCTAAGAGGCCACATCAATGTTAAGAGTTCACTCCCTACCTCCTCCCCAAAAAACCCACTTTCCATATCACAGTAGCCCATAACCACTCCAAAAAAAAAAAAAAGAAGAACATATACACCTTATCTCTAAACATATTACCCAAAATGCTTAGCAAGCATTAGCAATGAATGATCTTTCTTACACTGGCAATGGGTTAAAAGGTATATGTAGGGTAAAATATACAGGTAGATCAAAAATTTGTGATTTAAGTAAATTTTTTTTACTGACTGGCATTTGAGATAGGAGATAAATTCACACTTTTTCCTTCCATCTGTTGCAAACAACTACAAAAAGTCCATAAAAAACCCAGCCAAAGATGACCACAAAAAGTCCATTGATGAACCAGGATTCCGCTAGGAAGTACAAACAGCAGGCTAATGCCTAACCACACTAGTGCCATCAAATATTTTTATCTGCAAACAGAAAGACCAAGATGGGATACTGATTTTTGGCCCTGCTCTTGGATTCCCTTTTTTTTTGGCAGAACAAAGGAGGGAAGTAAATCACATGCTCAGTCCTTGATCTGCAGCACTGCTTTCATGAACAGTAAATATCTGCTCACGACCCTGACGGAGACAACACCTGATGACTATCGGAAAAAAAGAACAAATGTCAAACAGCTGTAAAATATGTGTAGGCTTTTCAAGCTTGGAATAGGTTTAAAGTATGTCTGAAACATTACCGTCTCAACATTTAATATGGAAACTATCATTCGTTTGCATCTGAAAGGTCAGCAGCCTCGTTATCAAAGGAATATCATCATTCTATTGTATATGTATGTGTTGTAAATATTTATTTCAGATGAATTTTTATTCTCCTATGTACATATTTTTCATTTACCTTATCAAATGTTATTTTTCCCTGTTGAACCCACCTGAGTATGCCACAGACCCACTGAGCGCCCTCAAACTCCCAAGGTAAAGAGTGGGTTGAGGTTGGATAATCCATCACAAACAGGCAACGTATAACCCTTTTGGGTCAGATACATTTCTCTCCTCCCAGCTCGCATGCTTGGCGTGGAACACCTCAGTACAAATTCCTTTTGCAGGAACAGTCAAAGCAAGCAGCAAAGCATGCAAGTGCTCGCAAAAAGACAGCACGTGACTTCTCATGCACAGTAACAAAATACGGCCCCTGTTCTAGCGATTGTGCCCACCAGTTGAAAATTTGCGCCAATATAAACACAAAACCCATCATTAAAAAACATTGCTCCTTTCAGATGGATTGCTTTTCCTTTTTTGGAGTTTGTCTAGGAAAGTTTTCATAAAAAACTCTGTTTATTTCCAGCCATGAAACAAACACCCAGCTGGCAAGCTTTGTTATGTGGTTATAAATCACGATATTTTACCTCTAAAGTGATTAGTAAAAGCAAACACGAAAATGCAGTTTATAAACCTACTTTTTCAAGAACAGCTGCTCAGCATAACTGCAAAAAAAAAATAAAAGAGAAGATCCATATACAGAAATTCCATAAATAATTAAGGAACTGGAAAAAATATCATTTGTTTAAGCAGATAGCTTTACACAGTTTGAGGTCTTAAAGCCAATGCAAAGAGAGAGTGTGCTGAAATGTACTCTTAGAATGATAAAAAGCAATGACTTGGAATGAATAGTTTCGTTTTTTTAAATATACTGATAATTTTCATCAAGTTACTCAGCACTGGGGAAACCAAGTTTGGAAAAATAGTAATATCAATACACAAAAAAATTAACAAAAGCAACAAAAATAATTTGGGGACGATAAAATACAGTAGTAGCACCTACTATACTTGAAGGCCACAATAGTTGCCTTCATTGCAGGGAGAAAGAAATGCCCATGCAGTTATCTTGCAATGATGGGACAATTATATGACCCAGTCAGATGAAGCACATGCAGATTGGCTTCCTCAGAATCCAAGTGGCAACCGACTAAACAGATTTTAAACTGATATATTGGATTGTCTTCAGCCTCTATAACTGAAAGAGCAAAAAATTTACGAAGTCACAGATGTCTAGGAAATTGCCAACTGGGACAGATTAGTCAATGTTTCTCCCACTATAAAAGTTAGGGGTATATCATATGGAAGTATCTGGTAGAAAATCTAGAAGTTCCCTTTTTATGAAAATAATTAGCTCACAGAGCTCATTGCCAAAGAATGCTATGAAAGGCAACGGTATAAATGGATCCCTAAAAATATTGTGCAACTATATGGAGATAGGTCTACTAGCGACCAATAAACCCGTTGTTCAAGAAGAAATCTGCGATTCAGAAAGCCCTTCAACACTTACTTGGAAGACTCCATGAGAGTGTAGGAGAGAAAGCATCTTACATAGCTTTTACTTTTCTCCAAGCTCCTACTACTGGCCACCACTACACAGAAGACACAGACAGCTCTCTGGTCTCACCCAGCGTTGCCGTTCTGATTTGCAGAGGACTCAACAGCAGCTTTGGCCCATTTGGCAGCTTTTACACCTCTTACAAAATCAGCCACAGCAAGGCATTTTGAGGCAGAAATGAAGCTGGAATTATGGATGTGTTTTCCAAAGTTACTGTGCTGCTTCATGGATAGGAATTCAAGTGCCACAAAAGGAAACAAAGACATTTTAGTATTTTAGCATTTCTTTGTCATTTCCCCAGCAGTTTCTGTCATCTGCTTTCCCAACGATACACACCAGAAAGAGGGACCAACAGCAGGGTACAAGTTCTGTATTGCATTTTAGCATCCTTAGAGGTCTATGTCATGACAAGAATTTCAAACTCCAATGCCTAACTTGGACTGAATGGTGGCACAGTGCGAACTGGCTAGTGTTAAGCTTGAGTAACCTTCAAACCATCCCAAGGAATTTGGGCTAGCCTGTGATTAACTCATCAACACACTTGCATTGTTTCATTCTTTTTTAATCTTTTGGGGGTAGGGGTTTCTTAAGCTCATGTCTATATGCAGCCACCATCTTCAGCCTCCCTGAACACCCTCCTGGAGCACACCAAGCAACAGATATCGGCAAGGTAATGTTTTAGACATACTTGTCATCTGCTTTCTGGATAAATGGGCTCAGATCTTATGCCTGCAAGTTGAGAATACTTACTGCAACAACAACAAAAAAGACTTTAGAGTCACTTTACCTCGGTCCTCAAAGTGCTGAGCAGAGACGGGTCATATACTGGGAGGGGTGAGGCAGAGGGAAGCAGCCTGCTGCAGGTAGCAGCCTGCTTGGCTTATGATGGAGATGTGACTAGGGCTGGGATCTGCTCTCGAAGGAGTGACAAAGTCATCATCCCAGGATATGACAGAGAGGGCCTTTTCCCTCATCCAAATCCCTCTTTTAGCCAGAGCCTCCCCAGCTCCATTAATGCTTCTTATTCCACATCCCCAGCCCCGTCTCCTCCAACCCTCCCCAAAGCCTGATCCTTCCACACCCCTCTGATACCTTCCCAATTTGTTGCAATCCCTTTTCCCAACAGCTCCTAAACACTCTGTTCCATCCCAACTCCTTTTGGCAGTGTCAATCCCCGTGAGCTCCCCTACTTTCGCAAAATCCCTGCTAACCCCACCCAATCCTCTTCTGCTTTTTTTTTTTCCACTCCCCAAACACATCCAAATGCTGCCACAGCAGCGATTCTTAAAAGCATCTGACAGCAGCTTGTGCAAGCGTGTCTCTATGAAAGAAAAATGATAGAAAAATTGAGGCTTGCTGAGATACAAGTGGCGAGAAGCATCACAACAGATGTCATCTTCACTGCTGGTAATGCTGGGTTACTGCACTGTATCGTGTCCAAGTGTCCTCTGCAGCACTACAGGGTGACAAGAAAACTCCCCAGGCACGGGCAAGGAACAGGCGAGATCTCTCTTTGACAATACAGTTATATCAGATCAAAGACAATACTGCGCTCGAACATTACTTTCTCAAACTACCATTATTTTGTGCAACACTAGCACTTAGGAATACCCATTTGAGGACTGTGTCACTCCAACTAGCGGCAATTACAGGATGGAAATTTAAAATGCATCTCTGACATTGAGATACCCAAAGCCTGAGCAAAGTGATTTTTCCTAAATCACATAGGAATCATCCACATCTTCCCCTGAACAGAAAGACAAATTCATTAAAGAGTAGCTCCACTTTATTGATAGAAACTGGGGCACAGACAGATCAAGTCACTTGTCTAAGACTCTCGCAGGAAGTTCGCAGCAGGGCTGCTTATCAGAGTGTCTTAGACGAAGAGATCAGGGCTTAGTTACTAGCTTGTATGACACAAATGTTAGGGGACGTATGTACTGTGACCATCCAGCACAGTCAAGTACATAATACCCAAGCCCTGAGACTGAGCAGGCGTTTATAACTCCACTCACGTTATATAGGTCTGACATAACCGTGGGATCTTACGCCAGCAACAAACGCAAAGCAAGCTCAGGCTCATGCAGGAAGAAACCAAGCTACATTATCACTTCTGATAAAACATCATCTTACTTTCAGTAAGTCAGATTTACCAGAGCCTGAGCCTAGTACTGTATCTGCCTTTGTCTATGCTCATATTGCCAGTCTTCTGTGCGCTCCACTGAAATGTCATTGCTTACTGCTGGCAACGGCAACTGGATGTCAGCTGCTGAACAGATACCATGAGAAAAGGTAATCTGACAGCAAGAACTCAGAAGGTGGCCCCTCTTGGTTACCTCTGCTTCAACAAGGTCCAAGTGTCCCTCCAAGCCGTGCTTACAGGACATTCACAGCTGTCAATGTCAAATGACGACTACCAAACACCACACCATTTGCCAGTTAAAACTCTGGAAGTACCTAAGCCTTTTTTCCTCTGTAAGTTAAATGTATTCTGAGTTTGGAGGTTCTCTGGTGACTAACAAATCTCCACAACCCACCTATAATAAAGAATGTCAATGTCAATGTCAAACGACCACTACCAAACACCGCACCATTTGCCAGTTAAAACTCTGCAAGTACCTAAACTTTTTTCCTCTCTAAGTTACATGTATTCTGAGTTTGGAGGTTCTCTGGCGATTAACAAATCTCCACAACCCACCCATAATAAAGAATGAACAGCATAACCCAAACCAGAGTCAAGGGCAGTCTTGCGATGAAAGGATTGATTTAAGACTCTCAGTTGCCGCAGAACACCTCACACCATGTGTGACTTTGGGCAAGCCCTTTTTTCAATGCAGAACTAGGGTCTTGTCTTCTCCTTTGGTGTCCCATGAGGGTTTATTAACAGCATTGAGGCCACTGAAACCGTTTATGTTTTAAGTGTTACCAACACCTGTGACTATTGGCAGGATGCAGGAAATGAGAACTGCCCCTTGTTTATACCACACCTGGCAACACCAGGTTGTGATCTTGCAAGCGGTGTCCAGATAATAAAACCGCGGGAGAAAACAATGATGGAAAAGGTGAAGAGCGAGACTGTGCAAACCCAGCAGTGCCACATGTGTGCACAGCCCCCAGCTGGCGCTACACAAGGGCATTAGACGTCTCCAAAATTCCCCCTCCACCATCCAAGCCTGAAAACAGGAATTCAGGAAGACCATAGGCACCACAACAACCACAGAACACCTGTAATAACAGGAACGTATACAGGCTATCCCAACATAAATTTTCATCAGTCCATCGGCCTGTCTAGTGTTATTTCTAATACCATACTCATGAAGAAATGAAAAAGCAGAACTCCACAGACTTAAAGTGTTCAAAATCTCTGCTGCTTCTAGTGGATGACTCCCACAAGAGCAGTTCATACCCACAGAATCCTGGGAGATATTGGAAAATTACAAACAAATTCCTTCTTTTTTTTAGAAAATAAGGAAAGGAAAAAGAAAGCATTACCTATACAGCACAGCGACTAAATAAACAACGAGGCGAAGCAAAACTCCAACTACGACACCGTAAGGAGGCAGGAAGGGTCCAGGGGTCGCCATGTCCGTGGGCCTGGCCCTGGGTGGACCCCAAGGGCTGACCATGACCCCGGAGGGGAAGGAAGGAGTGCTCTAGCTCTAAGTCAGACAGCAATGTTCTCCAACCTTTGCCAGAAAGGATCGTAGTCTTCGTCTTCCCTGGAGCGGACCCTGGGACTTCTGTTTTTTAACACCCTGGAGTAGATAAACTGCGCTGCGAAATTCATTGTAATTCCCGATGCAAAGCAAAGCTGGGAGGCTGTGGGCAGGGGACACACTTGCCTGTCAGAAGTGCCAGCCCTGCAATGCCGGGGTGGGAACGAGTGGGTGACGTGCCATAAGCAGCTCTCCGGTGCTGGCGGGGGGGTAGGTGCCTTTGAGAGCGATGGCTGCTGCTATTTAAAGAGATTATTTCAGAGGCCAACCTGTCCTTGTCAATTTGAGACATGGCCCGGATTACGCCTGGGTGACGCTCTGTTAGCAGGACACTTGAAGCTTTAGTTACGTACTGCTTAGCCGTGGAGCATGATCTAGACCTGCTGTAGGGCCCGCGACTTCACGGCGTGCACTCAGGTAGGCAGAGGCAGCAAGGAAAGGGTGCCTTTTTTGTGGTGGCTGGGTCACCTGCAGGGATCCTTTCATGGAGCACACCAAGGGACGTGGGTCATCATGACTGAGGTGCAGAGGAGATCAATTACTTCGCTCGGATCTTTTCTTGCCACAAGTCCTTGTAGCAGAAAAACGGAGATATCCGGATCATACAGATAGAAAAGATCGTCTAGGGAAAACACTGCAGCAACAGATGTAAATTCCCCCAGCTAAGTCTGTTCTTCATTGCTCTGAGAGAGCGTTAGCAGAGGCAGTGCCCCATTTCCCGATGCAGGACGGCTGTGCAGCGGGGATGGGAGCCGGGGTTCCTCTCCTCTGGAATACAGCCCTGATGGAGCGCAGGCTGCTCGGGGACTGACCAGGTGTCCCTTTCCAGGCATCAGTAGTCCCTCAGTGCCCTCTGCTTTCTGCTGACAGCATATAAAATCTTAACCTCCAAGACAGAGAACATGGTAAAATCTAGCCCAAGCTGTGACCTAACCCTCCCCAAAGTACCGTGAGAAATATTGTAAACTGCTTTAGATGGGAGAGTCGAAACAAAAGATCAAATAGTCTTCTGGGATCTGTAGGAAACTCTGAGCTGTGCTGGTGGAGCCTTCCCTCCACTGGCGTGGCAGACAGGTCCACGCTCCCCCAACTCCATCAGCACAGACAAAGCTCCAGATTCACCAGTTCTTCCTGTCTCCCCCACCCAAACTCCCTTTGTCCTTCCCTTTCCAGGCGATGGACGTGCAGGCTGTGGAGGTGGCATGTGCTGCACATGGCCACAACCCAGCAGCACGCTGCTGCCAGAAGTGAAGAGACAGAAAGGCTGCTGCCGGCACTTGCAGCTCCAAGCCAGAGTAAAGTTCAGGCCAGCTTCACCGATGCCTTGAAGCACTGAGAGAAGGCAGGCGGAGTTATTACTTCGCTCATAACACATCTGAAGTGCAGTGGTGGGCAGGAAAGGGAACTTCAAAGTAGTGAAAATTACAACGCCTAGATTTCGTGTGTCTGAGAGTCCAGAGCAATGCGCTTATCTTGCCGTGAATTCAGCTCCCCACAAAATGAAGCCCTGATCTGTGGCTGGCGCTTGCAGACCACACAAAACCAGTGAAAGGATTTTTGGGACCATCTGGCCAAGCAGTTGGAAACAAATTCACCAAGCTGCTTCAGGACAGAAGTACACGAAGCGCTGAACTGCTGTCCTAAAACACGCCCAAACGAGCAGCCCACTAGGGAAAAAGGATGTTTGGAAACTTCTGCTCCAGATTTAGGCCCACGTCAAAGATTCACTCAAAGCCCTCACCTAAGCATGCGCTGAAAACGCTGACTGTGCAGTGTCTTAGAAGGCACTGCATCACTGTTAATTGCTCTCAGTTAACTATGACCATTTTCTGAGCTGCTTATGTCCTTAATGAGAGATGAACAGTTAAACACACACTATTATTAGATGTGTCTTCCTTTCATTCTTGCCTGTCAAACTTCATTGTCCTTACAAGCTTCTTACGTTTTGTCTGCCACTTCACGTATCCACCTTCACTATCGGCGCACGCAGAGAGGATGGCTGTACAGCCATCCTGCTTTCTCTTCCTAGCACAACTGGATTTTGTCATCTTTCACAGACGTGGGTTTTTTAGTATCTGCATGTCTACTCTGACGAAGACATCTCTCTCTCTCATTACTTGGATCCTTTAAATAACTCTGCCACCTTCATCTAGGAAGTTCATCTGGTCTCCTACTTCTTCCTAACATCCTTCTCCAGGAAATTCCTGTTTGTTTCCTTTGTCTTTACTAACGCATTTATTAGCAGGAGTTGGCATATCTGCTGCTGCTGTTCAAGAACCAGAAGTCTCCAGCAGAAGGCAATACGTCCATAAGTGACATTTTTTAGTGGTAGTCTCACACCAAAATACTTATACTGGGGATGAACTTAAGTACATATTTTATGCTTTTTGATTCAAAGTGTAATAATACACTTGAAATAGATTAACCCATAGCTTAACAGGTTTTACAAAAATGGTATGACAGACCTTACATCTCCTTCCCAATTTCATTGCCTTTTCAGACATTTTTTTCCAAGCAGAGCGCTGCGATTGTTAGAAGAGCTTTACAGCTGACGAGGTGGATGCAAACAGCAAAAGGCAGAGCAGCGGGGTGTCGCACAGCCTGCTTCCCACTGCCACCAGGAGCATCTAGTCAGGTGTGGGGAAGGAATCCAACCCCTCTTACCTACAGTGCCGTCTACTTCATTTACATCAGAAAGCACATTGGTCCCGGCAGACAAGTTATGCATTTGAACTGGTTTACTACGTAGGCTGGATTTCCCTGATACCATCCTCTGTCAATTCCTTCTTCCGACTGCATGCCTCCGAATCAGCTGCCTGCAAGGGGTTGTTGTCTGCTGCAGCTCAGATTCCCTGGATGCCCTCATTTCTCTCTGGTTTTGCGCTTAATCAGCAGAAAACTTCTCTAGCATATTGCCTTTCAATAACCAATCCTGCAAACCTTTCACATATTATCTCATTCTTGGCACTTAGCTTTGAAAAGCCAAATGCCTCCTAGCTAACAGACTGAAATTTGTCATTTTCATTACATTTATTCATCTTGAACAGGATCAAGCCCATCACTACCAGCAGACTGAAACATATGGAAAATTAACAAGTTACCTAAGTATCCAGCGATCGGTCCACTAACTGCTTGAAGATTTAAAAATATGGACCGTAAGACTAACCAACAAATTAACAAGTGAACAACAAAGCAGCTGTCCTGGGATAGCGTGGCGTTGACTTTTCTGCACTTTTTGCATTGATTTGTTCTGAGCTATAGCCTATTGGGAGACCCATTGTCTAACTTCCAAGTATGCCAAACTTCATCTAACCGTTCTCCTAATTTTCTTAAACCATGACTTGGAATAATTTAATACAGGCACTTGCAAACCTGTTCACAGTGCTTCAGAAAACACCACAGCTACCGCAGGAAGGAAAAACTAACTTTCATCTTTGACTTTTCTCTTTTATAAGAGAGAGAGGGTCAGAGTGGGGGGAAAAGTAAGATATTCTTACATCGCTGATGTGGTCAAGTGAAACCCAACACAATGGCCATGAAACTGTCAAGGACAATGCTAAGTTACAGGTCTTCCCCAGATCACATTTCTTTTCAAATGCAGAGTTTCTTACCTCCTCTCAGCTGCTCGTTGGTGGGTCCTAAGGGAAGAAAGCCAGTGCCTCAGTGCTGTATAGCTTTCAAAAGGTTTAATTTACAGCTTCCATACTGCCATCACTCACACCTTTTGTGTTTGTGCAAGGAAATCATCGTTCATAGCTGCACCTAACTGAGACCACAGCAAACCCAGTGTTTATCAGGGGCACTTTATACATCTGCAGTGGCACTTCTTGAGAAGTTTTTTTTTTTTCCAGATCATCATTCAATATTATTATCTTCCTCTTACAGAATTTTGAGTCCAAAGGAAAAAAAAAAACAAAACAAAAAATACTTTAATCGAGGGACAGAATTGAAATGCAGTGCTCATGTGCTAGTGTGTAAGAGCAAGGATTAAGACTGGAAAGAAGTGGAAAATCCAAGTCTCAGAATAACTTTTTTACACTCATCAAGTTGTATATGACCACCCGCCTTCCTCCCTCAGTCCCTGGTACAAAAGCCATTAAAAGATAGCGTAATGTGCAAGGTAACAGCTGCTTCTTTGTCCTAGAAAACCTGCTTAACAAGGTTATGCTGCTTTTTCCCTGAACTGAAAAATAAAATAGGACCATTTTGCCGTGAAAATGGAAAACAGTGCTTCATTCTCTTGTAACCAGAAAGAACTCAGTTTGGACAGCACTGGGAAAAATAGTGATTACCATCATAAATAAAGACTTCATTGAATTACAAGACTTGAAAGATGGTTTTGAAGGGTTAGCCAAGTTTTTGCCCACACTAAATAAAATTAATAACATTTCCAGCCTCAGTGAGAACAGCACGGGTGGGAAGCGATAGTCTATCCAAAGCAGAGAATTCTTTGCAGAATTTGATCAGCTGCAGAAGGAAAGAGGGTGGAGACAGTCTGCAGTTAAGCCAAGAAAAACAATAAAAGTTATTCAGAGAGTAGCAACGCAGAAAACCAAAATGGTACTTTAGGATAATGAAATGTATCGATGCAATTGTGGTGGTGAACCACTATAATAATCAGTATGGATAAATAAATACAGACAATTCAAAAAGAATCATGTTTTTTTTAAAAAAAAAAGAAGGAATAAACACCTAAAAGTGTCACATTTCCTTGTATTTAGCATGCTAATTTAACTTCCATCTCATTTTCTGCATAAATCAATATTTATAGAACAGACCAGATTTTCAGCCCCCGGTGTTTCTATTTGTCAGACAGCAGGTTACCCATGGTACTTAAATGTCGCATTCCTGTTCGTTCTCTTTAGGGAGCTGAGAAAAGGCTGATAAGGTAGATCGTAATCAGTGGAAACAGATCTAGCTTCCTCAAGCTATATTTTGTAGCGGCTGGGAGAAAGGACAGGCATCACTTCAAAGTACCTATTTGCTGGCACCAAAGGCTAGAGGGAAGCCTGGGTGTGCTTTGTGTAAAGTTACTCCATGTGACAGACTGTATCTGCTTATCAAGTAAACATTTTTCAGAAAGGGTGAGATA